CCTGGTGAGTTACAGAAACTTATATTCTTATGTTCTTTTGCGAGTTCTTTGGTTTATTTTTTTAAAAAAAAAAACAGTTACAATAAAAAGACTGTAAATATAATTTTACAACACATGTTCAAATCAATTAAGGTTTATTATTAGATCATTTTTTATACATTATTTCGTTAACATCTTTAACTAGTTGTGTAAAAAAAAACTATACACAAGGGCATGTTTTGCCGATAGATTAAGTCGGAACATCGTGTTTATTTAGTGTATATTACAAGACTTACATCGGTTATTTTCGCCAGTATTGCGATCATTATTCATCAAGCGAGAAGATATCTTCATCAAAAATAATTCATTTAATGGTTTCAGCAGATGATGGGAAATCTGTTAATCTCCATCTTTGCCACGTCTTTCATTAATTTTATCAAATTTAGATTAAGTTTACGATCTTCTGAGGGAATTGTACGAAGAATTATAAGGAGCGGGGGCGCCATTCTCTCAACCGGCAAATAATCTCACTCACTTCCCCGCTTAACTAAAATCTTTATCGGTTTAAATTCTGGCAAAAAGTTTAAGATTAAAGACGGCAGTTGTTGAATTCGTCCCGGGAGAGCCGAGTGAGAATTTTCCCGGCTGAATTCGCAACGTCTTGTAGAAGTCATTAATTTATTTTAAATTGCCGAGTTATCTTTTCTTGAATGATGTCACGCGCTTTGGGATTTGGCTCGAACTACCAGCATCGTAAAAGAAAAATGTAATTCTTTTATTGATTAATAGGACGCTGTCTGGCTCCTGCTAGCGGAGACCTATTGTTTTCGGTATTTTTTTTATTATTATCATATACTTCTGAAACTAGCCCAACTAAATTTTCAGGATTCAGGAGAATGATCGCTGTCGTATTTTTGTACTTTAATATTAGGAGAGAGGTAATATAGCCCTAGCCCATTATCCTCAATCTTTTTCTATTTTTTTTTGGGGGGGGGGGGGTGAGAAAAAAATATAATTTATTTAAATAATAAAAAAAATCGTAAAAGATCAGTTGACAGTTGGAATTCGACATAAGAATAAGCCCTAGTGCCGCTTTCCGGGCACAATTTCCTTCATAGCACACTGTATAGCTTATGCCCGTCTTAATTAGCCCAGTCGGAGCAGAAAAGTAAGACGTTAAACCCTATTTCGTATCATTTCATTTGGGATCACGTGGCTAAGTGGGTAAGACGCTAGCTCGCTAGCCTGGAGGTCGGGTGTTCGATCCCTGCATTGGCCGAGAAAGTTCATCCAGATTTTCCGGCGTGGTTCTCCCTTGTCAGTGATGCAGGACGGAGGGGCTGACAAGGAAAGCTGTCTAGTCGTTCGGATGGACGAAAAACCGAGGTCCCGTGTACACATTGGCGTGCACGTAAAAGATCCCTTGGCAGTTGGAATTCGATATAAGAGTAGGCCGTAGTGCCGCTGTCCGGGCAAAATTTCCCTCATAGCACACTGTATGGCGTATGCCCGTCTTCATTAGCCCAGATTAGGAGCAGAACAGTAGGACGTTAAACTCCATTTCATTTCATTTCATTTCATCATTTCATTTATTATTATTAAAGACCTGTTAATGAAGTCTACAAGCGTGAGAATATGGCGGCAGTTGGTGTTGGCCTGCGGAGAAGTAATGTGGCGCAACCGACACCTGCTCTTTCACCAAAATTTAAACTTTTATCGCATGTTTCATTTTCACTAAATTTACTAGCCTAGAGAGGATTTTAACAGACTTTCTCGTGGGATCTGGGTGTTTTGAAATGGTACAAGACATTGAAGTTGTTTGTTCCGCTCAGTTGCCATTAGCAACACAATCACCTGCTTCAAACTCTCAGAGATTATAGTTTTGGGTTTTTAAGAGTTAACGGTAAGGAATGCTTAATGGTTAAAACTCACCCCGGAATAACGTTATGATCATAACGTACTTTAGAATAGAGTCGTATTTAGTGTATGGCAATTTTTATTTCTATTATGTCCAATGCGAAGCAGCTGAAGAATTTTGCCCTGGAAATCGTATTTGTAACTGTCAAGGTTTCTTTTACATTGTCAAAACTCATCCCGGAATAACGTTATGAGAACTTCCACTCGACACAAACCAGGTCATTTCGGGACTAACATATGATTCAGTGTTATTTCAATAATTCGCTTGCGCGTAGGGGTCTTTAGCAGTGGGAGGAAACTAGAGTACCCGAAGAAAACCCACGAGTTTGGACAGGCGACCATACTCCTTGTCATGTACAACCGGGGAATCGAAACCACGCCAGTTGACTCAACGACAGACCTCATGATTCAACGCGCACGCACTAACCATTGGGCCATCCAATCCCCCAATAACATTATGATCATAATGCACTTTAGAATGGAATGGTATTTAAGGTATAGCAATAATTTTCATTGATGTTCAAAGGGGAAAATGTAAAACAGTAATTTGGTATAATTTGCTACTCCTTTTTTAAAATGAAGTTATTATTGTCATTATTATGATTACTATTATTATTAACGCGGATGGGAATTGGTCTTGAAAAAATCAAGAAGATTCTCCTCAGCCCATGCCGGGATTCAAACCCGGGGTATTCTAGCAAAGCGCCCAGTGTGTACATTTGGACATTGATTTTCCATATTATAATCCTAACCCATAGGCAACAATTTTTTTGTCCACCCCGCGATCACCACCCCCAACAAGTGGAGATCGAAAATTCCCGGGGCTTCCCCTCGGCCGACGCGAGAAGCGGCGTTCATTCGGCTGAATCTATTTGTTAAGGCCAGTCCAATTTTCGTCAAGGTCGCCGAGATGTAAATAAAAGTTAGGTAGGGTACGCGATTGTTGGCGAGATCGTAGGTTAGGGTTAGGGTAAGTATTGGGGCTAGCCCTGTTTACATCTCGTTACCTTTGACCAAACTTGAAGATGGCCTTCTCAAAAAGACCTAACCCGTTCAGTTCCCTGGTTGATCGACAGCAGCTGTCCCTTTTTTTAGAAACATTTTCGCAACACGAAGGAAGGGAGATAACTCCATTATAGACGGTCACGATCTGGATGCAGACCACCATTAATTTCCCTATTGACTTTAAATATGAATTGTTGTCTCTTTGCCAGTCGTTGGATTGAAAGCTTTTCACTACACATAGAACATCAACCGGTCATATCAGTAGAATACTATAAACATTTAACTCTCGGCCGTAGGTAGCACAGTTACCAAACTCTTAACTCTAAGCCAGAAATATTTAACAGAACTTGGAATACAATGAAAATCCATACCAACTTGTCCGATTCTAAACCCCGCAAAATTAACAAAATTGATCATGCAAATGCGGAGAAAAGGGAGAGAGAGGGGAATATTAGTATAGTATTGGCGAGAGAGAGAGAGAGAGTGAGAGATAGAGAGAGAGAGAGATGTTGTTTATCGTTCACTTAACACAAACTATATCATGTCTCGACTAAAACATGTTACAATTCCTTATTTCAATAATTCGATTGCACGTAGAGGTCTTTAGCAGTGGGGGTGGGGGGGGACACCGGAGCAAATCCAGGAGGTTAGGCATGCGAACCTACTCGTGTGGTATCGAAACCAGGCCTAAATAGACTATTCAACCATCCAACACCCCAACAGATAGTCACGACTAAATCACATTTCTCACTGCTTAATCCACGCTAATGTGTACTCTGGTTATTTAATATTTATCACCCAATAAAACATTCTACAGTAGATATCGCTTGTGTGATAAATTTCATAATCTACTTAGGAGATATCGCTTTACATGAATTTGATTGGTCAGTTGAAAAGGAACTACTTTTTTTATTTTCAAAGAACAGTTCATTTTTTATTAAAAGTAACTTTTTTTTATTAAAAATGAAATATTGTTATTTAATTGACCTTGATGGAAACATTGGGTCAATATAAAGGACTTTGCAATGGTTGAATTGCTGTCAAAAAATGATGTATCACTACGCCATAATGTTCAGTAAAAGTGAAATCGACAGCAAAGATTTATATTTATCTATTTGTGCATGTAAGAAGGGATTGGGTGATAAATAAAATCTCCTACTCGTCTTTTTTGATCACTTAACAGCAATTATAGGAGGTTATAAGCAATCATATGAATATCCAATAAAACTATTTCACCGAACTTAACTCGAAAGGTTATTAAATCTATATCAGGGATTATGAACTGATATTTTTAATATGTCGACCATGATGGATTGCCTGTCTTAGTTTTTATATTTTGGGTTAAACTAATTACATCCGGTTCAACATCCGGGTTAAGATTGATCAAGACGTAATACGGAAGAGAGAGATCAATCACACTTGGTCATTAATTAACGAAATGAAATGGGGTTTAATGTCCTACTGTTCTGCTCCTACTGGGTTAATGAAGACGAGCATACGCCATTCAGTGTGCCATGGGGAAACTTTTGCCTACTCTTATATCGAATTCGAACTGCCAAGGCATCTTTAACATGGACGCTAATGTATACACGGGTCCTCGAAATTTCGTCCTCTCCGAATCACTAGACACCTGTCCTTGTCAGGCCCTCCGTTCTACACCACTAACAAGGGGAAACCACACCGGAACATTAATTTACCCAAAATGTAATAAATAGCTTGAATTGTTAATAGTAAAATGAAATGAAAAGATGGGGAAGCCGCGGTGGCCCAGTAAGTAAGGTACTGCCAGAGAAAATGCCTCGTGATTTTCCAGCGTGGATTCCCTGTGCCTTGTCATTGGCGTGTACTTAAAAGAACGCTTGATAGGTGGCATTCTAAATAATAGTAGACCGTAGCACCGCTTGTCTATGCAAAATTTCCTCATAGCACACTGCATTGCGCATGCCCGTTTCCATTAGCCAAGTCGGTGCAGAAGAGTAGGACGTTAAACGCCAAATTGAATATCATAGGCCTCGTGTACACGCTGTCGTGCACGTAATAGAACGTTGTCCGTGCGAAATCTTCCTATTTCATTTAAAAGAAAACAAAAAGATTAAATGTTTAATAAACGGGGGTGTCTACCCTATAAGATGCGGGAGAGTTTTACCAGGTAAACCAAAGGTAGTTAAATCAACAGGTGTCAGCTGATAATCGCCGCCTTCTTCTTTCATTAGTCTGTTAATCTCATCGTAATAATGGTTGATGGAGGTCCCCCCTCCTGCTCCACCACTGGTGAACACAAACAACAACACCAAATCGTCTTTGATTATAAAGAACGAAGGATTACCACTGTCGCCACCTATCTTAGATTCGTAATAATCGTGTTCTAGGGAATGGACTTCCGGTGTTCGTAGACCAATACCCGTATTCATGTAATAGGAAAAATCGGTGACCAAAGCCTTTTCCTCAAAGTCGGTGCTCATGACCGGAAGTGGGGTATCGCGTCTTGGTCGAAAGGTATCGATACCTTTGGGCATGACTTTAGCAAAGGATATGCTGTCTGGGACATCTTTATCGAGGACACCAACGACAATGTTTCTTCCCCAGAAGGTTTCGTGTCCTGTGGAAGAGTGGTTGACGTATCGGATTCCAGCAACCTTTCTCTCAACTACGTTATTATGTAGGTCCACAAACCGTATGGTCGAACCCACGGGGATACCATAGTGTCGGGCCCACAACATATGTCTCTTAGACACTAGAGTTCCTGCTTTTCTGATTCCGTGGTTGCTGTTCCAAGGTGATATGGGAGTGAGGTCCAACCCGTACGCCCAGCAATCTGGATTTCTGATGTAGATCTTGTTAACGTGGTCTTGTTTAGAGAAGATTGGTTTAGCTTTAGCTGGTGTGATTCCCCTGGCTTTCGATAGTTCTAATCTGTCATCAATACTTCGAGTTATACTGTGATATAAGTTTATCTCGAAGTAGGTCAATGGTGGCGGCGAGGTGGGTGGTGCTCGTGTGGGTATCTTATGTTCACAATGAACGCCGGTTGCTACAACTGTTACGTTATGACTGCAGGAAGCCTGGAAGTATGCACACCTGTTGACAGAAAACGAAAGATACAACGAAATAGGGTTTAACCTTCTATCTTTCTGCTCCGGCTGGGCTAATGAAAACGGGCAAACGCCTTACAGTTTGCTATATATGAGGGAAATTTTGCCAGGACAGGGGTGCTACGGCCTACTCTTATATCGAATATCAACTGTTAAAGGATCTTTGCAAGACCTATAGAAGTACAGATCAGAAAGTTGACTTACATTCCATGGTATGTTTTACCGTCACTACCACAGTAAGTTGTATTTTGGTTAGGCGGTGGATGAGTTGCGTTCGTACAAGTTTTATTGTAATACGAACAGAAGAAACTAGCACCTTCAACTGCAAAACAGAAGCAGTGTAAACTGACAATAAACTAGTCAATATCAAATGTCAATGTCGAGGTCATACCTTTGGTCTGTTTTGAAACCTAGAAACGGAAATGTCTCTTCTTAATCAAACACACATAGAACTCAGCAATTTAAAAAGGCGGAAAGGTCGAAATTTCTCTTTTGTCTATATATGTCGAAAATTAGAAGTATTTGGATCCGAGAATCGATCTCTGTCCTGAAAGTTGTTCATTAAAACACTTCGAGGGCGTGGCCATTTTCGAAACCAGAAGCGCGTGGATTATTTGATGGCACATACATTGGAAGCGGAATAAATACTTACCATCTTCGTGTCCGCTCTCAAGCGGAGCTAACAGCAGACAAACCTCCTAAGTTTCGTATGACTAACTGTAGACAAACATCCTAAGTTTCGTATAACTAATAACCCCATAATCTGTCGCTCATCGAAGTAGATAAAATGAAATTAAAATGGGTTTGAAGCAGAAAAGTAGGACGTTAAACTCCATTTCATTTTCATTTCTTTTGAATGAATTTCTGTATTGATTCCGGCCTATGGAAATACCCAGATATGCGAGGTGGTGATGCATATGCATAGAAACGAGATGTCACCCCTTTAATGTGAATAATACAAACAAGATGTCACCCCTTTAATGTAAATATTACAAACAAGATCTCACCCCTTTAATGTATATATTAAAACCAAGATCTCACCCCTTTAATGTGAATATTAAAAACAAAATCTCACCCCTTTAATGTGAATACTACAAACCTTGAACAGTAAAAACTGAACAGATGAACGTATACACAACCACCTTTAAAATGGTATCCATCTTGGTACGTGTTAGAAATGAAACAATCTTTTTAAAAATAAAATATTTTATCAAATTGTTTTTATCTTATCGGATTGTAAGGGATTTAATGGGAAAGAACACAGAAGGTGATAGACATGTGAATTAGGTTTGAACTGATTTCAACTGATAGAACAAGAAGTAGAACAAACGCTACTGATTTAAATGAAATGGGGTTTAATGTTTTAGTTTGTTACACCTACCGGGATAATGAAGACAGGCATACGTCATACAGTGGGTCTATGGTATGAGGGTAGGCCTATTTGTGCCCGGACATCGACTTTTTTAAATCGATCGGGCTAAAGCCTAGCTCACAACCTGCCGTAGTACGTGCTACTACGAGCAGTCTACAAGGGAAACTTTAGTAAACCCGCGCGTGAGACTTACGCGTCATCTGCGTGCGTTCGGCACCGTAGAAGATCTCAGACTGGCCGTGGATACTTTTGATTCTGCACATACAAAATGTTCAACCGGTTTCTTGCGGCGGGTCTGCGAGCTACAAAACCCTAAGAACCGAGCGTGTCAAAACACGTACGACTAGTTCTGAGCTAGGCTTAATAGAGAGAGAGAAATGGGGTTTAACGTCCACTCGACACAAACTAGGTCATTTCGGGACTAACATATCGTTTAATTTTATTTCAATAATTCGCTTGTGGTGACAAACGCTTGAGGAGTTCACATAGCTAATAAACTTTTGAGCAGTTCACACAGCTAATAAACGTTTGAGGAGGTCACATAGCTAATACAAGTTTGAAGAGGTCACATAGCTAATAAAAGTTTGAAGAGTTCACACAGCTAATAAACGTTTGAGGAGGTCACATAGCTAATACAAGTTTGAAGAGGTCACATAGCTAATAAAAGTTTGAAGAGTTCACACAGCTAATAAACGTTTGAGGAGGTCACATAGCTAATACAAGTTTGAAGAGGTCACATAGCTAATAAAAGTTTGAAGAGGTCACATAGCTAATAAAAGTTTGAAGAGTTCACACAGCTAATAAACGTTTGAAGAGGTCACATAGCTAATAAAAGTTTGAAGAGTTCACACAGCTAATAAACGTTTGAAGAGGTCACATAGCTAATAAAAGTTTGAAGAGGTCACATAGCTAATAAAAGTTTGAAGAGTTCACACAGCTAATAAACGTTTGAAGAGGTCACATAGCTAATAAAAGTTGGAAGAGGACACAAAGCTAATAAAAGTTTGAGGTGCAACAAACATTTGAGGCGTTTGCTACGCTTGAGGAGTTCCCCTAGCTAACAAACCTATGACATGAATACACGTAGCTAACAGCCGTTTGGTTTCCATAATTTAAAGTTATCTGAAACTGGATCGACTGACATAATATAATATACTAGCAGGATACCCGGCTTCGCTCGGGGGTCATAACTCCGAAACCGCAAGTGGTAGACTAACGCCACCTGGCCTATGTTACTCCCCGGTCCGAGCTACCCCTATACCCCAAATTTCAGACTCGGGGCAGACCTTGTGTACCCGCCAACCCCGAACAGACCGGCTTCGCTCGGGGTTCATAACTCCGAAACCGGAAGTGGTAGACTAACGCCACCTGGTCTATGTTACTCCCCGGTCCGAGCTACCCCTATACTCCAAATTTCAGACTCGGGGCAGACCTAGTGTAGCCGCCAACCCCGACCAGACCGGCTTCGCTCGGGGGTCATAACTCCGAAACCGGAAGTGGTAGACTAACGCCACCTGGCCTATGTTACTCCCCGGTCCGAGCTAACCCTATACCCCAAATTTCAGACTCGGGGCAGACCTAGTGTAGCCGCCAACCCCGAACAGACAGACAGACAAACGACAGTCACAAATATATATATAGAAGATAGATGACATAAATACACATAGCTAATAAACGTTTGGGGAGTTGACATATCTAACGAAGGAATTCAACTAGCTAACAAATGTTTGGTTTTCATAGTTTTAAAATTATCTGAAACCAGATCGACTTACGTAATATATGCGAGATGTAACATCTATGAGCAGAAAGATACAGAGGGGCGGTACAGTTAAAGAAATAGCAACATATCCGATAGTTTGAGCACTTGGTCTATTATCGGTGTAGTTTAGAAATTGTGTTACGTAATCCATTCGTCTCCAATAACAACTCCTTAACGATTGATTCTCTCTTTTCTTTCAGCGTTTAATTTTTATATACTATTCAAAAAAAGTAGGGGATATTTGATTTTGGGGGCATAATACTAAAATATGCAAATGACTACGAAAAAAGTCACTATAGAACCTAACAGAAGAAACATTTCCAGTTACATGTGACGCCCAAACGCACCAATAGCTACCGCATGGAATGCAGGTGATGCTTGGGATCATCATGGGGGTCCAACCCAAGATTTGCACGACTCTGACTTTGAATGTTACAGTCATTGTGGCATTGAATTCCAGGGTGGAAACATCAGTTTAATTGTTTTAGTGACCAGAAAACAAATTTTGATATGCGTCGGCTTACCCAAAATGAAAGGTTACGTGCCCTTGGCATGCTACAGATCGGCACAACACAGGCGGTTGTGGCGCGGACGGTGAATGTTTCTCAGTCTGTCATAAGCAGGCTATGGTCCAGATACCGTGATACACAATCTGTACAGGACAGACCACGCTCAGGTCGACCAAGGGCGACAACTCAAGCCCAGGATCGATTTATCCGTACCTTGGCCTTGTGAAATCGTGTCATCACAGCAAATCAGATCAGCGCTCGTCTTCAAACAGACAGTGGTGTGAGAGTGAGTGGCCAGACGATTCGGAATCGACTGCATAGGGGTCACCTTCGCGCCCGACGTCCTCGCGTGATCCCTTGTTTGAGAGATCACCACATTCAGGCAAGACGTCGTTGGTGTAGGGATCGTCAACACTGGGATAATCGACGCTGGAGCAATGTGATGTTTTCAGATGAGTCAAGGTTCACTGTTGATTTTTTGGACAGACGTAGGAGGGTGTGGAGTCGTCGAAACGAGCGCTTCCAAGACGTTAACGTCATCAGACATGATCGATTTGGGGGTGGTTCTGTTATGGTGTGGGGAGGCATCACTGTTGCTGGAAGAACAGCTTTACATGTTGTTGCAGGGCGTGTTACAGGCCAGTACTACCGGGACAACATCTTGGCAGTCCATGTTGTGCCGTTTGCACGACGTCATGGCCGCCGTTTCATCTTCCAGGATGACAACGCAAGATGTCACAGGGCCAGGATCGTTACAGGTTACCTCCAACAACAGAACATCACCACATTACCTTGGCCAGCACTGAGTCCCGACCTCTCCCCCATCGAGCATTTTTGGGACATGCTTGGACAGAGGTTACGTCAACGTCAACAACGTCCTGCCAATGTCCAAGAACTTGCTGCTGCGTTGCAACAGGAATGGGACAATCTGGACCAAAATGACCTTAGACGTCTCATTAGGAGTATGCCACGTCGGATCAATGCTTGTTTGGCAAACAGAGGAGGATTTACCCGTTACTGACTTGGTTGTGATGCTGTGGTAACTTTGCTGTTTGACCCCGGGTATCATTTTACCCTTATAATGGTCAGTCTGTGCCTTACTTAGTCTAACGATCATTTGGAATAAATCGATGAATGTGAACTTCATTTCATTTTGTCATTTGTTTCTTCGTCAGTTTCATTAGGTGACTTTAATAACACTTAAAAATCAAATATCCCCTACTTTTTTTGAATAGTATATCTTTGAACACATCGACACGAACAAAGCGCATTGTTGGCGTATCACAGAGTTTGATCTGCAATAAAACTAGATGTATCTGAATAGACTGGATCCTGAGATAGTTGGTGAATAGGGAATAGTCTTCCCAATAGTAAATGTAACGTGACGTTGATGATCCCGGTAGACCAGTATACAATTCATCACCGCCCCTGTATATAAAAAAACAACCCTATCAATCACAAATGCTAACATACCAAATGTTCCCGTAACGTTGTTGGTGAATAAGGAATAGTCTTCTCAATAGTAAATGCAACATGATGATGATTCGCGTAGAAATGTATAGTATTCGTCACCGCCTCTGTATATATCAATGAAAACCTTATCAATCACAAATATAATGTGTCTCGGCGAAGTATTACGAGTTATTTTTATTCTACTCTTTCA